GGTTCAAATGGCATCAAAATTGCACCTTCCTAATCAAAAAGATGGGTGCCAGAAAACGTATGAGCACAACAAAACCCGTGAAGTCGCCGGAATCTATTATAGCTTCCGCGCAGACTGGGAGGGGAGACTCCAACAACTGCGGACTAATCAAAAAGCAGGTGGCTATCGATTTCGTGATACGTCCTATTATGGGAACTTGTGAAAGGGCTGATATTCCCATGATCCCGCAAATTGTGGCTGGGCTTCTTTCTTGCCGCATAAAACCCAATCTGTGTAAACTTTCACCTTCACTCTTCTGCGAAATGTTGGTTCATTTTGAGTATATTTCCAAGCTGCGTTAATCCATTTTTTGTCGACTGGCCGTAGGCGTACAAAGTTGGCTGAACTAGTACTTTCAACGGTACCCTAATGTTTACGCCTTTGTTACCGAACGCTAGAACTTATCAAATTTACCGAGTTTTTCTCTATCCGTTTCTTCGATGAGTGTTGAAAGATCGTATGACGTGTCAGATGGGTGCGTGGAGTAGGACGAAGTTGACGAAGACTCGGTAGCCTCGTCACTCTCTGTAAAGAAATTCGTCTTAATCAAGACGCATTATTTCACGGACTGAGACATCAGACTGCTCGCAGCTCTTACTGCAAACGTCGCATAGCAAGAAGAGCTGTACATTCCTGTGAAGCAGTACTGTGCAATCTGATGGAGTATAAGCTATTCAGAAGCAGAAAAGCCAGGAATTCATTGATGTCAACCCAAATGCTCTATGAGCTCAGCTTGTCGCGATGTGTCCCTCGCGACCGATGGGACATTGTTACCCGGCCATGAGCAATCGTTCTTACCTCTACTGGCAGCGGGAAGGGGGGGGGCGAGCCAGACATGAGTGAAAAGCTGGAACGTGCGAGTTCACACTTTTTGGTGAGAAGACATCAACATGCCTCACGCCACAGCGGCGAAAGGCCTCCTTCAACTAGGTTAGCACACTGTCTAATCCAATAAAGACTAAAAGGTTAAAAAGGGTGTCAGATGACCCGAGTGTGTCTTATTTGACTATGCCACGCTCCTTGACCGCGTTCGCGCAGCATGGGACGACCAAGGCACACGCTCCCTCCGTCCCGCCTCCAACCGAGGCTGTCGAAGGGAATCACTGTCAGTCGGCGCACTTTGATCTCTCGGAGCACTGACACGTTAGGTTCAATACACCCAATCCACGTCATCGAGTTCAGGCTACCTTGGGGTAGCTGGCAGGATGCCCTCTCGCAGCCGATGGATGACCTGTTGCAGGGACGATGCGGTTACTTGGCATCTCCAATCCCGGCAGATGGGTAATTATGTGGGACATCGGGAAAATTGCCGCACATAAACGTGAGTGAGCCATGGCGTATTGCATAGGGGTCTCGTATAGTGGGTGCCAGGGCTGGGGTCCGACTAAAGCACACTTATTACATTTCATGGGGTGTTATCCAGCCGGGGCAAGGGAACCCTCGACTCTTGTTCTGAGAAAGCCTGGGCCGAAGGCGGGCTCGGCTTCACATCTCATTCTCCTTGAACTTCCTCTTCCCTTGGTTAGGAACCCGTGTACCGCGGGGAGCAGAGACCATGCTTGCGGGAAACAGCATGGTCTCCTGGGAAGGACACTTAGAATGGCGCGAGTCTGTAAAGGACTACGAGGGCTCCGAACCACCTTGATGCGTCGTGTTGGAAGGGTTTAGGAGGGCTGCCCTTTTCAAGCTGCCACACCTGCCTCACCTTGCAAAATCAATTAGCAACGTCAGCGTATAGATATAGTGGATAACATGAGAATGCAGTACTATAGAATTTAGCGCCAGAATTGATACAAATTCAAAATATTGGCCTTACCATAATCATCTTCAGATGAATCTTCTTCGTCATCGTCACTTCCGGATGATGTTTCTGCTGAAGATGAAGTGAGCTCACTGCTCGACAAATCCGTCGCACCCGTCAGGCCGGAGTAGTACGAGGACAATTCGGAAAACGCTCTGAATTGATGCAAATATTTAAGGAGAACGGCGCAATGTGGCTCCGGGGGGGGGGGCACCTCGCAACATCGCGTCAAAATCACGGAAACGCTCCGTTTTAGGACTAAGCTTTTGAAGAGGAGAGGAACTCCGGTGTACGGAAGCAATTTTCGTATTCTCCGGAGTTCGTCCCTGCTGTTTAGGCTTAGTCCTAGATGACTTTTCTCAGAGTGCCCCCCCCCCGAGCCACATTGCGCCGGAAACCATGGCTTTCTTCGCTCTGAGTAGAACGGCGATCTACTCATTATAGAGTATTGATTTTATGCAGTTGTAGCGGGATGACATTCTTGCGCGCATGCAGCTGAATGAATGCTCTACAAGGAGGTCTTTCAGGACGAGCCATGCTTTTTTGAAACGGTTTTATAGGCATATTGCAGGGACGCATGCAGAAACACAAAACCATGTTCCATTTTCGCTGAACGGTTTTAGCAGTGTACCTAGAAAAATAACACAATGTACCCTCGCCTTCAAATGACCAGAAATTGTGCAATTGCAGAAATTGACGTGGCATTGGCACACGTGGCTAAATTCTCGATGAAAAGGTGACATCACGTGTGCTCAAAGATGTTCTTGAATCGATGCCACGTTAATGCCACGTCAATTTCTGCAATTGCACAATTTCTGGTCATTTGAAGGCGAGGGTACATGTTAATGGTTTACACGTGGGCGACTAAATTTTGCACTTGGTTGGCGCCTACGGATTGGTTGGTGGAATCGCGCTAAGGGTCAAAAGCAGAATGTTGATTATCGTGGTAGGTGGACATTCGAGCTCATACGAAGTAGGCCGCCAACCTTGATTGCAAAATTTAGTCGCCGCGGGGGATCGAACCATCAAGGGTATCATTCACCACTTTTTTGATACTACTAAAACCGTTCAGCGAAAACGAAACATGGTTTTGTGGTCCATACATGCGTCCCTACAATATGCAAGAAACCGTTTTCAAAAAAAAGCGCGGCTTGCCCTGAAATCATCCCATAACTTGTTGAGCCTTCGTTCATACCGCGGACTCTCGCGGAGATAGGTAGTGGCGATATTGTATCTGGTTTTGGTAGTAGGGTTAGAGTGATTGCGCTGGACAGGATAGTATCGAATGAGTTTAGTAGACAAGGGCGTCTTGAGGTCTACTTCATCTTAGGTAGCTTTGTCAGCCGCACTTATCCTCGCTTTCTACTATGCCTAATCTACACATAGTCCTCTCTCCTTGATCGATACAGATCTTCTTCTAATTGTCGCGTACATTATCCGTATCTCCGCAGTCTGCGGAACTATGGTAGCCAGGGTTGCGTAGTCCGCGAGTGTACATTGCTGATGTAGCGATCCTTTTAGGAATATGGGTTACTTATCGATTAGGCTTCAGCTTAGGCGAGTAAGGAGGACACCGATCGACTGTGCGGTCAATTAATACTATACTTCTCTGTCTTGAACCCCAACCTGATCGCTAAAATAGAATTGAATGAACAGAATTAGATGAAGTGAAATGTTCCCTATTGGCGTGGTGTGATCGCGAACTGTGAACGCAGGTTGCCTTTTACAGGGAGGTTCGATCATAGGTGAGACCTAGGACAAGCCCAACGAGAGGGCCAGAAACGCAGAACTACTCAATTATCGCCAGAGTCCCCTCCCTGAATTCTGGTCCCAAGTGCTGTAAGGCCGCGTTCATAGTTCGCGACTCCGGAGATTAGGATAGTACGCTACTTCGGAGATTAGGATAGTACGCGACAATGAAAAACATATTTTAGTGGGTGATGTGACGGCGAAATATCGGCGAAATTAAGGATAGTATAGTGTTTAGGAGATTGCGCTGACAGAATATTAGGATTACGTACTCGAATTGAGATTGCCGTCTTAGTAGCATTGCGTGTGATGGGTGGTATGATAGACATAAGGATAGAGTAGGAGATTAGGATAGTAGTAGATTAGGATAGTGCGCTGACAAGATTAGATATGTATTGATCTATTCGCTTGAAGTCGCCCAATCTACTACTCTCCAGCGATTTCAATCGATACGTATCCAATCTTGTCAGCGCAATCTCCTACTCTACTACTATCCTAATATCCTGTCGCCTACTATCCTAAATACCTAATCTCCCAAGTCGCGAACTATGAACGCAGCCTAAGTGGCTCACTTGATGTCCCCCCCCCTAACGACATGAGCGCCTTATTTGCGAAAACAATGCATTATTAATTTACCTTTTTAATTCATAGGACCCGTCATAGGAACACTGAAATCAACGAAGATTATCACACCTCGAAATTTGTTGCCAATAATTCCAAAAATCTGGTTTAGAGACGTACAGACGCAGAACTGCGCTGTCGCCAGACAGATCCGGCGCTATCGCAAGATGCGTGGGCATTCCCTAGAATTAGACCCAGGAGGAGGAAGGAACATCGGGGCAACAAAGAAATGCTGGCGCAGTTTGGAATCTCTCCTCCTCCACATAAGGCTTGCTCTCGTTTTTGACAAAAAGGAAATGTTTCACGTGGTATGAAATGCATTGCCACCACAATGCCCCCGTATCTTGCGATAGCGCCAGGGATTCTTCCAAAAAGTATAAAAACAGTGTTTGATAGAGTCTGAAGCCATGAAAACTTACTGGTTCCGGGGCATCATCGTCACTGCTGCTCTCCGGCAACGGTCGAGGCATACCTCTTGTGGTGATAACAAACTAAACAATGAAGTCTACCGAGTGCTACAGTGCTGTTAAAACAGAATCTTTTGAGGACTGATATAAAAATGTATATGAATGATAACACAACCAAATTCAAAAATCCAAAAAAAAACCGTTCCAAGTTTTGGATCTGTTATCCGACGGGGGGACATCTAGTGACGCGAGAGAACATGTTAAAACCTGTCATATATACTGAGGCTTTTGGCACTTAACAAAATGAGACAGGTCAAGAACTGTGATGTATTCTGAGCAGGATCCGACCTATTTACTGTGCGTAGCCCATATTCTCAAATAAATATCCAGAAAAAGTGGCGCTGAAGCAAGATACGGGGCTTCCCTAGAGCTAAGCCTAGCAGGTGGTTGGCCGAAGTCTGGGAAATGAGAATCACGCACACGCTGGAAGTATCCCCTTCCCCCCTTAGGCCGATGTCAGACTTTGCGAATCGCGCGATTCGCTAGCGTCTGCGGTCGCGTCGCGGCCAGTGAATCACTCAATTGGCTGGTACCGCAACGCGACCGCGGACGCTAGCGAATCGCGCGAATCGCTAGTAGCGAATCGCGCGATTCGCAAAGTCTGACATCGGCCTAAGGCTGGTGTCAGAGTCCGCGATCCGTCGCGCGATTCGCGCGAATCGCGCGACGGATCACAGAAATCACAAGTGCCCGATCAATACTGCAAGGTGCTCTCCAATCCCGCCGCCATTTCTGCTTGATGGTGATGGCTGAATGACGACTGTTCATGATTCTACTTGTTTCATATTCAGTGTTTCAAATGTTCAAATGGGCACTTGCGATTTTGCGATTCACGCGATTCGCAAAGATCGCGGACTATGGCACCAGCTTTGTCTCGTTTCTCGAAAAAAAAATGTTCGACGCGGTTTCACGAGCGTTGCCCTCACAATGCCTGCTTTCTTGTGATAGCGCCTCATTCTGTTGACGGACATTTCTTAATCCGACGATGGCGGTTCATGGTGACCGACCGTGTTGTAGACTATGCAAATCATGAACAACCGCCGGCTGCACAGGTGTCAGCAAGCTCCCTACCACTCGAGCGGAGTGCCGACCCGACGACGCTGGCCACTCGTTGTGCTTGCCGCAGCTGTGACGCCACTGTGACGTCACCAACATAAGCTCCCGTCCGCCGCTGGTAGGCTTTTTTCTCCCCTCCCCTATATAGGTCTATTTTTGACTTCCTAACTCGTACAGTAAGCGAGAGCACGCCGTAGAGACTGCTAACTCATTCTCCTGCGTTTGGAAGTTGATCATTACAGGAATCGCTCATAGAAATCCTTGCATTAATTCCCAGCATTAACACATCAGCTGTGGTCGCTAAAGAAAAAGTGCGAAGTTTCACGCAAGAACATTCAGTTTTATAGGAGAAACAAACCTACGAAAACCTCACTTCGGGGACGGTAAAGGGTAGGTCGGGCGGGAAAAATGAGCGCATGGAAAGAAGTGCGCCTTGGAGCGGTCATGTATCAGGCGTTTGAGGAGTCTGCTTAATTTGGAGAGTAGAGTCTCCTTACAGTGTCAATGGCAAATATAGACAAAAACGATCGTCAAAGACATAGACGTCAGAAGAAGAGAAATAGCTATAAGGAGAGACAGAAAGAGCTTCCTACGAACCCTACTTAAAGACCGAGTTGGAATCTGCATACCCAACGCCAACATTGGACAGATGTCCGCGAGAATTCGAGGCGTCACAGGCCTCCGGTTTTCAAAATGTTTGCTAAACGAAAGCATTTTTGTTCTCTCCGTTAATATCTGAGTGATGGGCTTCAAGTCAGTGATTTGTCTTTGAGATAGAATCGTGATTTTTCCGCGGGTAATTCCGTAATAACTTCCCTCAGAAGCATCCGATATAAGTTACCTACAGAAACATATAGGTTATGTACACTCTGTTTCATGCAGCCAGAAATCCACGTGGCACACGTGGCTAAATTCTCGATGAAAAGGTGACATCACGTGTGCTCAAAGATGTTCTTGAATCGATGCCACGTTAATGCCACGTCAATTTCTGCAATTGCACAATTTCTGGTCATTTGAAGGCGAGGGTACATTCATATTCGTATATAACTGTAAGACAGGACAATAACTGTAAACTCGATTCACATAATGCAAGTAGGGAGGAACGATCGGACCTAGAATGCATCTTGGTGGTGAGAAAGGCGTGGAAAAGGGTCGAGAAGAAGTTGCGGAACCACGGCTGCCGTCAGACGTCTTCTCGCCCCTCCAGCGGGTCAACCGTCACTCTCGCACTTTTTCAAACAATCACCTCACCACGCTCCCTTAGGACAGTGCTCGGTACGACCCTACAGCGAACTTCCCATTTCCTCCAAATTTGTCTAACTCACACTTCTTTTCGTGAAGTTTTTCCCGAAATTGTCAAAAAAATGAGTCTAAGATGCCCCCTTTTCTCGCACAACGACCCCTTTAACTCACGCGGAATAACCCTCCATTCGCACTTTAACACGTTAACCCCGTTAACCATCGCCCCCCTCCGTCGTAATAATTATAACCGTGCCCGCCGGCATTGCTCTGGCGGCGTCTTCTGTCTCTCGACCGGATCTTCAGCTATTTACCCTTTTATCTCCATTAAAGACCTCAACCGCAAACCTAGCGACGCCATAACCACCGGATTGCATCGCGACTGTCATACTTGAGATTGATGAGGTAGTTTTCCAGACGGGCGGTCGTCCGTCCAGCCGCCTTGCAAAACTCATGTGAACATAAGTACATTGTCTGTAGAAGCCGCTCTATCGGGAGACAAAGTGATTGCCGGGCGAGAGTTCTGCCTTGCCACCATGCCCACACTAGTGTGGAGTCTCAACAATGGTGGACCAAAATGGAGAACCGCGCGCGACCGCGCGCACTCTGCGAAATTCACTTCTCGAGCGTTTCGAATTTGAAATTCATTTCATACCCTTCATGCTCGGTGCATAATAAGTGCGCGTTTAGCTGGCTCTTATTGTACTTTTCAACATCGTACTAACTTTGCTCGTAACCGCGGCAGAGAAGGCTTGTTAAAATTGACATCATCGTGTAGGATACGATAGCCTCAACATGTTCTCATTTCCTTTTCTTCCTGAGTTACTCTTCATAAATGTGACAATGAGTTGTTTGCAGTTCACGAGATCGTGATACAAGAATGCTTCCTAGCTGGGCTACTGGCTTTGGCATTGCATATAGGCTTATCCGACTACTTTAATTCTTTCTAAAACTGCCTCAATCTGATACTTAACTCAGGACTGACGGACTCCTTGAAGGTCCGTCCTCTCTCCAAGGCTTAGTCCTTTTGTTGCCCTTTTGGCGGAGCTGCTGGACCTAGCTGCACCACTTCGTCATACTCTCCTACCGTACCGACCGAGTTGAAGTAGTCCGTCGACCTCGGGGACCCCATCCCCTCCCCAACATTCAGCATACGGTCCCAGCAGAAACGCCAAAAGGGCTGGTTTGCTTACTCGAAAAAGTCGCGTTATGTTCTAGCGACCCACACCCCAGTACCACATAAGCTTATCCAGGCAACATTTTGGCGAGAAGTACTAAATGTACTGCTGATTAATTCTTTTTTGTATTTCTCTATCTGAATCAAAAGTTCTGTTCTGAAACTGCATGCGGTCGTGCAATAAGTTTTTTGGCACTATTCCACTATTACTGCCCCAAAATCTCAAAATTTTATTTTTCGTCGAAACTTTGCCTATAGGGGTAATTCGATGCCCTGATTACGAATATGACATTCATTTTTGATGCTGGCGCCATTTGGCGCCAGTTGGCGCCTTGTCACGACGGCTGTTTTCACCAAATTCGGTGTAAACTTGTACATAGGGGTTATTTGGTGTCCTGATTACGAATATGACATTCGTTTTTGGAATTGGCGCTGTCTAACGCATATTTTCTGCTCTCCTGGGCTCTCTCACTCACACATTGTGCTTAAGACTAAGCTTATTGGAGAAGGAGGACTCCGAGGTGGGTAAACCACGCAACATGTGACAAAAGTTGAAGTGTGTGATATCAGGGTGAGTGGCTCACTCACCTCTGAGCCCTCCTTTCCCAAAGGGCTTAGTCCTGATAGCGATCAACCCAGTGCGAGGGCGCAGACGAGCAGAAAATAGGCGCCAAATGGCGCAAGCGCCAAAAATGAATGTCATATTCGTAATCAGGACCACCAAATAACCCCTATGTACAAGTTTACAGCGAATTTGGTGAAAACAGCCGTCGTGACAAGGTGGCGCCAATGGCGCCAAATGGCGCCAGCATCAAAAATGAATGTCATATTCGTAATCAGGGCATCGAATTACCCCTATAGGCAAAGTTTCGACGAAAAATAAAATTTTGAGATTTTGGGGCAGTAATAGTGAATAGTGCCGTTTTTTTTCAAGTTGCTCAATAAGCTCTCTGGAACTCCTGCGCGGCCAAGCCTAACACATTTACGACCTCCAAAGAATTGGAATGCAAATTTCCCAATCTTGCAGATAATGAACTCATTTCGGGTGAATGAATTGTTGTTGGGGTTCGACGACCTGAAACCTTTCACCGACGCTCTCACTGACGAAACTCAAACAAGAAGGCTTCACAAAATATACAAGGTAAGCAGACCTCCCGTATCCATTTTCAGGACTTTCCGTGTTCTTTTTTCAGTAAAGTCCCTGATAGTTCCAACAACCCGAGATTATAGTAAGCGCGTCTTTTTTGGCGCGGGTACCTAACTTCGAAGCCGTGCTCAAGGTTTCGCCATGCTTGGTCTCTTTGCGGAAATGCAAATTAGTAGTGATTGTCTCTGTAGTTTTGTGTCTGAAGCGTAATCTAGATCTAAAATAGTGAATTCTGGAAGCGTTCTTGGAATTACTTAAGGAAATCACAGACCGAGATGGTTATAGTCTTTGGTCTCATAGAGATGAGCTTCAGGCGCTTAACGCACTCTTAAGCCAATTAATTTCCGAGAGACGAAAGAGGGGTCGATGTTCAAGGTTCTCATTTTACGCAGGGTCTGCACAGTGGACGAGATACGAATGGAAATGTGGGTGTTAGCTCAGGCTCTGAGCGATCACACTGCTTCGTCTCGCTCAATAATATAGAAAATCTGTTCATTTATCCACTTTATGTTCCCTCCACTGTGCTACCAATCTTGTGGATGATGACGCTTGTCAAATGCATGGAGACTACAGACAGCAAGTAGATAGAGCGAGAACTGCCGTTAATTTGCATCCTCTCTTATTGTAAAGTAGTCAAGCCTTGGTGATTTTCCTTAGAGAAGTATCTGGCATTTGGACGGGTAGCGCGTGAAAGAACACGTAGAGTTTCGACAACAACTAGCGACGAATTCTCCAGAGTTCCAGTCTAATCCGGCGTGCTCCGGGTGTTGCAGACTTTCGTGACAAGATGGCATGTTGGTTCCTGGAAGGGAGAACTGGGGGACGGCTTATTAATTCTACTTCGCGACGGCATAGAGGCAGGTGTCGTGATGCGCATGCGATATGATCAGAGTGTAAGTCGTGTTTGGATACTTTTCATATTACTTTGGGATCGTTATGCTCCATTCAAATACGAGTTTTGGTTGAAGCTAGTAAAGCTTACTCGAACATCTCCTTCTGCTGCTAGATATCCAACGAGCAGCTCCTCTTCATTCATCCCGTGAACGGCGTCAAAGATGGGGCTTTCTCCCTCCTGCTTGGTCGGATGACGTCGTATTTGATATTACTGACTTATATATTCGAACTTCCAAGACGGACTTATGGTGGGACGTCGTTTGTTGAAATCAGTGACCACCACCTGATTTCTTTTTGGAAGCCGTTTTGGCCCTGAGGTTCCAGCAACCTTTCCTGTGCGGTTTGAGGTGTGGAGAGGAGGCCCATTCATTTTTGCAGGCGACCCCGCTCCAGCTTCAACAAGTAAGCTCCAATGACTCCCCAATCACTTAAACACAAAGTAGTGGTAAGCCGACACACAGGATAAGTGGCGCTCATCCGTAATGTGCATGGCCATTTGATGGACACTCCTGATGGCAACTGGTATAAGTCAGCACAACAAAATGAACATGGAATCCTACTTTGAATTCATCTGCATTTCAATTTGAACATGTGGCGACTTCTAATCCATTGCCCCCTCTGTCTTCTGGCCCTTGTCATCAACTCACACGAGATTTTTCAGTCTCATTCTTTGTCAAAATTTCCTTCTATACAAACTTCAGATTGGCAAAGTTCTAGTATAATGGATGCGATTTTCAGAATCTAGAAAAATATGACAACAGTACTCTTCAACGGCATCTTCTAGTCTTGACAACTTTCATGGAAATCGCTCTGCAGGCCGATCCTCCTCATATAAAAGCTTTGCAGAATTATTTAGTCGAGTGGGTAAATATTTTCTTGTCATCGCATAGGTCGAAAATCTCATTTTCCTTTTCCAGGCTCACATCTATAATTGAGAGAGCGAGAAGCACTGTTTCGAGGGATAGTATTTGCATGGCGATGGGCATTCTTTTCAAATATAGTGGCGCATTATTGGATGTCCAGAGTGGTTCTGATGCAGAGGTTTGTTGTTTAGTGTCTTCGACTCTTCGATAGTTTTTCCGTCTTCCCAAAATTCGTCCTTCCTTCAAACCCCTTATCCATGAGGTTTTTTTTTCTGTAGCATATGTGCAGTAGTTATCGAAAGTTTGGGAACCTTTTATTTCTCTTATCATTATGATTTCTACTCTTCAATGTTTGCAGTAATCATTACGTTTGTGTCATTTGGGTGGCTATTACAAGTGTTCTTGGAATGAAAATAGGAAAGGAAAATTATGCGAAAGCGCTCGTTTTATGCTTTTGTATTATCAAAAAAGTTCCAATGTTTGACCGCCGCTGCTGTGTATATATGCTTTCTCTTCGAGGTCAGTATTCTGGCAAAGATGATCTTTTCAGGTTTCATGCTTATTGCACATGTTAGCTATTATCACCTCTCTTCTGCCTCACCAAATACTGCAGAAGCATTAGCATGGAATGGGAATGCATGCTCTCGGTTTAGTTTTTGATCGCTTTCTTTCGCGTGCAAAATTTCATACCGCGACGCGGACTCAAGGTTGGCATATTCCGTTCGCGGTTCCCCCCCCCCCCAATGTTTGTATGGGTAGGAGTCGTAGGTATCCAGTATGCCGACTTGGGACAGGGAATAGACAAACGGTCGATATCGATCCTACACGACGCAGATAATGCGGCTTCAGTGCAAGCTGGAATTGGTTGGGGGATGCTAATCGCTCGAAGAGGGTCAGTTATTTACAACATTCACCTTACGGGAAGCGCTTCTGAAATCGCTTGGAATTGTCCAGCAAGCCGAGGGCAGGGATCCCACGTGAATTAGTGAGGAGATAGGTTGGTGCGTGCTTTTGGCCGAAGGTGCAGTCAGACTTTTGTAATTATTCTTCATCTTACACGTATGTTTTCATTTAAAATAGTAGTCATCTTTCAAATTTATTTAGGTGACACCAATTTTAATCACTCTTAGTTGTCCACACAAAACTCGTCTGAAGGGCAATAAGGGCCCGATCAATTCTGCCTCATAATTATGTACTTCAGAAGCTTCTGCTGCTGTCACCCGTACGAATCTATCGAGAAGTGAATTGGCAGCTTTATGGACACGTGATGATGTGAGCTCATTTTGAATCTCACTTGATTAAGCTTTCCGCTTCTACATTTTTGACCTGATTCCAAGGTATAAATCGGTGTGTGTAAGTATTAGAGCTTACTCTTCATTTCAGTTGGCTGAATACTGCACAGACAGTCTAATACCAGCAGAAGGAGGTATTCAAAGGCTTCATGCGGGAGTTTATCGGCAAGGACTGAAGAACTATTCTGTGAAGAAACCAGCTATAACCGATGAACAAATAGAAATCTTGTTCAAACGTGAGTGGCTTACAATCATCTTTTGCTTAGAAGTTTTTCTTCCTAGTTTATTTGTGTATTTATACGAATGCTCATTCAAAAAAGCCAGCTTGCGAAGGGTTTTTTATCTTAGAAATTTTTATAGAATTTATTTTTCAATTTTTGTGGATCAATCAAGCAGATTAGTTGATTCTCTCCCTCTTCTCTAGTGTTAAAAATTTTTATAGGATTGATACCATTTCTTCATCGCCCTGAAGTCCTGCGCATGATAGTGTGGATGATCGGACATGAGGACTCTTCTGGACAGGTTGAACAGAGTGAGTTCGTTTGCAGAAACTGGATTTTTCTCGAAATTGCTTGGAGCCATTTCTTATATGATGTTTTTGTTTGAAAAGCTTGAAAATACTTGGTAAATGTTGGTGATTATGTCATGAATTAGTGTGGATTGATGAGAACAGAACCGGTGCAAGGATAAACCACCGAGTAGCTCAGGGTGTTGGTCGTTGTAGATATCAATCCAACGCCTAAAATTAACGGTGTTGTAATTGCCCACTCAAATTCATTGCTCCGTAAGAATCTGTACGTAATGAACAAAACTATAATTTTGAAGTAAAGATCAAAAGGAGAGCCGAA